CTGAATAGCTGATAGCCATGATATATTTAAGTAATATCAGCACCCGTACAGCCTTTTTACCCTTTGTGTATTACTCCGCCCACATACAGCCAGCAAAAAGCAGACACTACTATCTAAAGTTTAAAAGATGCTTGCTCAGCTGTTTAACTGTCAGCTTATGATTTGAATCCGCAAGAAAGTAGTTCCTCATACAAAAGGGTTTTTGAGACTCTCCATGTTTGATTTTGTTTTTATATACACAATTATGCCGTCAAACTGTTGCATAAACGCAATATCACATGAGTAGCAGTGCGATATGGCTGTATATCGGCACTGGAGGGGGCACTAACCAACGTTCACACCGAAAGCGGCGAGAGCTTCAAAGTAGCCAGAAGTCATTCATTTTCAATGAGAGCCGGTGGCGATAAGCGGCGAGGAGCAGCGCGGCGCGTCTTTTCCAGCGTGGGTGTCGAGGAGAGTTGAAATCAAATCAACTTCATGGTAATGAGCTATGACGCGGTTCGGCGACAAGCAATCAGAATGAAGACGTCCACCGCTTGATAGGAGTTCAGAGAACACAGACCTGTGAACTTTGGTTCCGACCACAGTTGTTCCCAAGGGTTTGATGATTGCTGTTGCTGGATTTACAATGTTTTCTTACAGCAACATGCATTAGTAACTGGCGAGTTACTGGTGTTCATTAAAGTTATATAAATTTATCTCAAAAAAGCGTGAAACTCGCGCGACGTGACAGTACAAAACAGTATAGCTGCTTCAGGATATTTCAGACATATGGACACATATTGGATAAATAAAGCAAAGCCACACCACATGCAACTTGATCTTTCAATGTTATATGAATTTGATAAGAAGTGCGCAACATTTTCACACTAGAAACATGTTTTATCCAGGAATGTAACTGATATGCTGCAATGGCTCCTTTAAATATGAGATCAATGTAGCGAGTTTTGACGCTCTCGCCGCCGGAGCTGAAGGCAGACAGCGTTGTCGCCAGGGCGGCCAGAGCGACCTGGGACGCTCTCGCCGCTTTCGGTGTGAACATACGGTCAGGCACTTGGCCTGCGGCCTGGTGTGTGTGTGTGTGGATGTTCTAAAATGTTAACTTGTCAGTAATTGTCATTGTTATTAATTGTAAATATGTAATTGTATAGATGCAAAATTTGTCAACCATGTAACAAATGATGACGTGTGTGTATGTGTGTACATTCCTACATTGTGATGACCAAATGTTCCCAAAACATGTCATAATACGTTTAAAAATCCCTTCTTTGTGTTGCAATTCACAGCCCTCCATCCAACTTTTGTTTGGCTTAAACAGCAAAGTCTGAAAATAAATAGACCCACATTTGGACAATCGAGATGGATATTTATTCAACTGGGATACTTCTTCTTACCGCTTGCTCTCTTTCCGCAATATACTGTAAAGTGCACAAGGTTTGGAAGCCGAAGCAAGCGGGGCCACCCACACTCTAAACAAAGACTCAGTCACAAAAATGAACTCTCCCCCGCCTCTTACAACATTGTTATTGTGCTTACGCATTAGTGACTACATATTTTATCAGAACGAGCCATGGAAGTGCATTGCAGATGACCAAAAAAAACCCCATCATAGATAGATGTTTGTTCTTACTTGTCCAAATTTAAGTGGTAAAATCCAACTTTGAATCGCACCAGTGCGCAGATGCAAAATGACTTATGAAATGGTCTGTTGTATCAGCAAGTTAAAGGGAAGTGAGATTCTTATCTGCTCTGTTGTTGTGTCATAGATTATAATGCACCAGCAGAGCCTCTTTGTTTTACTTACTCTTCTGGATTTGTTGGTGATTTCAGACACACAGAGATTCAGTTTGAAATTTTATTTTTCTTATTAGCTTCATTGGGATGCTACAAAACTTGATTACTTTTACTTAACTTATTTAATTTAAGCACATTATTGACTGAAACTAAAATAGTGTTTGTTTTTCTTTTTTATTTGACATGAAATCTCCTCAAATTACAACCTTTTCCATAAAAGACATTACTGAAATTATATAGGCTATCAAATTATGACATATTTATGGGATCAAATTTGTTTTGACTGTGTCATTCATGCTAGTCAGTCCAAGCCACTATATGACATTATGTAAGTCACTCTTTTCCATATAGTAAAATTTCACACGTTCATTATAGTTAAAAGTGGGCCGGCCTTATTCTTCAGAAGTTTACCTTCTATGGAAGAAAGCATGTCAAACTGGTTTGACATGAGGGTGAGTAAATGACACCGTGTACATGTTTTTTTTGCTAGCAATAAGGTATGAGAGGCTGTGCTGTGTATTGTGAATATTAGCCTCCATCCTCTTTAGCTATATTTTTATGATTATTATTATGTGCAAGGATTATTATATAAACATTATAAGCCAACTTAAAGAAACAAATCATATATAATACTGTATAATAATTTATATTAATAATAATAATATTATTATAATTATGTCATGACCCCTTTACTGAAATGTTCATT